CACAACCGGGCGATGGATTCCAGCATAATTAAAGAAATCAAACCTGATGTTCTGTACAAAATAGTTCTTGGGATACCTGAGTGAGCAAGACAGGAGAAACGGCTACATTATGTTTCATTACACAAGAACTGAAGGCAGCATACGGATGCTAGCAATGTAAAACAGTCATGTAAAAATAGATGCCAGCTGGTAAAACAGTCTTTACAACAGGAGGGATCTATGTCTCAGTAGCGCTACTGCTGCTACACTGAAGGGAACTACCAGTTAACCAACATTTAATGTGCTGAATAGGTCTGATCCTTCAGGATAGCTGGTACTTGCAGTTTCCAGCTGAATTCAAGCTTCTCAAATCTGCCATTGATTCGGCTTCGCAAATCACTTAATTTCAGCTCCCTGTGTATACACCAGATGCAATAACTCAGTGCAGATTCCTCATAACACCAAAGCTTAAACTCCTCCCTGCTTGACTGAATAATTTTGGCATAAATGCAACCAATGCTTTTCTACGTAAGTTGTTTGGAGGGTCTTACGAACTAGCAGCCAAATAAATTCCCGTTCTCTCATCCCTGGGATAAGCTCTGCAGTACAGCGCTCTAGCAACTCACCTTGTTTTGTCACTCATGTATTGAATTGACCCCGGAGGCAGAGTATGGGGTGTCAGAGTGTTGTTGAGTGCGACAGTGATGCGGCAGGGGATCCCTGGGCTGCCCTGGACGATGTTGCTTATATCTGCTTCAAAAGGGAGGTGGCCTCCTTCGTGCTCCACGACTTGCACTCCGTTGACCCACTGGAGGAGAAGACGCCCATGAGCCCAAGAGGCAGGTTATTGGGTTTTTGTGGTAAGCGTAGCAGGGAGAAGGGAAGGAGCCCAGCAAAGGCCAGTAGGGATTCCCAGCAACACTGAACATTGTTCTGGGCTCTTACTCCTTGTGGGCTCAATCTAGCAGCCCTTCCTTTGCTGGGAGCTAGGTCTGGGTCACGTACAAGCATCACCAACAGACACGGGTTTGGGTAGATCCTGTAGCAAGGAAATGTTTTAGTTACAAGTCCTGATATTGGAGGAGCAGAGAAGAGAGACTTGGGGAACACGGCCAACTTTTTGGCTGGAGGAAAGCAGGCAACAGTTAAGAAAATAGCAAACTGATATAAAATCTAGGCAGAGATGTGTTTGCTGAAGAAGTCATAAGACAGATTTTGGTGCAGCATGATTTTGGAAGCAGGTGGACAATTTCCCATGCAACTTACCACAATGGAGTAGTAATGGGCACTACCGAAACGGAGCACCACTCTGCTGTTGAGGTCGTCCTGAAGCCATCGGAGAGGAAGCAGCACCTCTTTCTCATACCAAACCCAGCCGATGTAGTTCTCCAAGCTGGGGTCTTGAGTGATATCATTGAAGCTGGAAGGCACTGGCATGTCAATCACAGGACCGGTCTGGCAGGAATTGCACAGAAAGGGAGGGAACAGATTTTTTTAAAAAAAGAAAAAGAAATTTTACTGTCTTGACTGTGCAATCTGTACTGCTGGAGGTGTCCCCTTCCACCGACAGCCTTACAACCCCTTTGCCAAGCGGAAATACTTGGGAAAACCTGTTTAGAAACTGGTGTGGTCTGTCACAGGTCCTATAGAAGCCCTACTTGACACCAGACCTAGGAGCCTGCCTGGTCCTACAGGAAGAAGCCGCTCATATCTTTTTCCCCCTCCTGATTTATGATATGATGATATGATAGGGAAATGCTTTTATTAATGGCTCTGGTATTGTGGAATCAGGGAAGCGAGGGGAGAGGGGGGAAATAAATGCCCAGGTCGTCGTTTCAGCCTGGGACTTCCCACCAACTGTAGTTCCTCCTGCACAGCTCTCGCTGTTCGGCGCGCAGCGCTGGGGCTGTGCCATCGGTTCGCTGCTCCAGGGTGCCGCTCGTCAGTCTGAAAGCTGGAGGAGGGTGGCAAAAGTATTGGGTATTTTGGGCCAGATCCTTCAGGGAAGGTCCATGGAGACTGTGTGGGATGAGCCCAGGTTTGTCACTCCCTGCAAGCAACGTAGATTCCTTAGGATTACAAGAGGGTCAATCCACTCGCTTATTTTTAATATAAGACATACAGGCGGGCAGCATTGTGCTACGCTTAACATTGAGGTAACTGGCTGCTATTGCAAAATAGAGCTGTTCATTTTTAGCACCTGCTGCACTCGTGATGTTGCAGAAAGGAGCACAGCTGGAGCGCTTCCCCTTTCCTACGGAAGCCTGTCCATGGAGAGCGGAACGAGGAAGGTCTGGTGGCCCCGGTGGGGTGAGCATCATGTGCGCGGCTGACTCAGCACTGAATGGCACCGGCACTGCAGAGGGACCCAGCGCCTTTATTAGCCATCAGAGAATCCTAGCAGGAAAATCCCTGGATGGGGAAGTGGGTTTTCTAGTCCCTGATACAGGATGACCTATGTCTGGGATGGCCATAACGTGTGTTTCTCCTTCAAGGAGATTCTCTGGTGGCTGAAAAAGGTTGAGCGTAGACTTCGGAGCCCTCCTTTAGGGGGGGCATAGTGCAGGATCCCTCTCCTCTGCCTCTCTCTCCGCAAAACTTCGAGCAGCACAGCGTCTCCCAGCTCCTCTCTCCTCCCGCAATTTGGCCAAAAAAATTGCCTAAAGGGCTAAACCAGAAATGATGGATGCGTTTTATGCATAGAACACATAACTCTTCTTTTACGTAGTGGCGTTAATTTCGTAACGGCTCTCAGTTACACTACAACTTGTTTATCTGCACGAAATCATTGGCGATTGCCCTTTCCGGCAGTGTTTTTGTTATTTTTTTTTTTTAGTGCTGCTGAGGACAGGTTAGGGCGGTGCGAGGCCAGCCTTGCTTTTGGCAGCACCTTTCGAAGGTATCCGTAGCTCATTCCGATGCTCTCTGGCTCCCGAGCAGGACTAATCAGTGACTGCCGTTTCCTCGGTGGCTAATTAGCCAGCCTTCCCCCGGCACAGCCCTGCGGGGCCAAGGGCCGAGCCGGCCGGGGAAACGCCGCTTTCGGGAGAGGAAGGAAGCCCGGTGCGCAGTGGGGACCCTTCCCGGGAGGAGAGCACCCCCCGTGCCCCGGGAAGGGGCAGCCCCCCCCCC